TGAGAGCGGGACTATAGAAACCACTACACACACATTCATTTCAGATTTGAGGGATTCTTCAGTTCTTAATACGATGGTGTTATAATTTTTTTGGTATTACATACTGCTCCTCGGATTCAGATACATATTTCTGTTGAGCTTATTCTTTACTATGCGTTTAGTTCGACAATTTATGTTAAAATCTGTGTGATTTTGTTTCCAGGTCGTGGTGTTTTACAAACATTTGTTGTTTCTAGTGACCTGCGTCCCAGGCTGGGCATAATTACTTATTACTCAGCTTGTACCTCATATTTCCCCCTACCCGGCTTAAAAAGTCTAAGTATTTGACATGGTAAACTCGAGTAACAAGTCAACAAATCCCTTTTATTAATTGCAAATATGGATCAAATATCAAGTATCATTATTATTATTATATCTAAATTATTATTATTATATCTAGTACTTGTGTTGTTACTTGTCATGTATTGTAATCCATTACTCGGTACTTGTTATAAAAAAAATACTTGGTACATGTTAATACCAAAAAAATTGTTACCCGTTTTAAAGCTCAAAAACTTAATCCAGTCCAAAAACAATTAACTTTTAGAAAGATAATGAAGAATTTTATTTTGTCAAGTGATGGACTTTTGGCAAGTAACAAATCGGATCAAGTCACTTGTTTAATGATTACATAAATGAATTTTAACTTATAAGATATTACAGAATACTTTATAATAAATTAATTTTTATTTGTAAGATATTATATAACTTTTTTTTGTCATCTACCCAACTAATACATCACGTGTGGCCAGCCAGAAGTGTGGTCCGGAGCTCAAATATTATATAACTAAATCTTATACATTAATTAATTAAATTATATAAATTTTTATGGATCAAAATAGCAGGTCTTAGTTAATAGTAAATTAGGCCAAAATTATTTTAGGAACAAAATTTCATCTACTAAATAATATAATCATCATTAATTATGTAAATATGAGATAACAAATATCATCGTTAAGTATATAATAATAATAATAATGTTGTAAAACAGTTATCGAGAGAGAGAGAGAAAATTGGTGTGTCTTATTCCAAAGATAAAGAGAGGTATATATAGTATTACAAAGGTCTAGCTATCACTTCAAGTTCCCGATGTGGGACAAATACAATATTAGTAATGGACCTTATAATGGGCATCTATATTAATATTCATAACACTCCCCCTGATGACCATTATAACGATATTATAGTAAAGCGCGTAAGATGCTGCCTCATTAAAAACCTTACTAGGAAAACCCTGTGGGAAAAACCATAGTTAAGGGAAAAAGAGTGCAGCGCGCATTTACTCCCCCTCATGTGTACCTCCGAGATCCTTGAGACGTCGTAATCCAATAAGTTGAATCAACTTCTTGAAGGTAGCAGTTGGAAGCGCCTTGGTAAATAAATCTGCCAAATTATCACTTGAGCAGATCTGTAGAACACGAATATCACCATTCTTCTGCAAGTCATGTGTAAAGAAGAATTTCGGTAGAATGTGCTTTGTTCTATCTCCTTTGATGTATCCTTCCTTAAGTTGAGCGATGCAAGCAGCATTATCTTCATACATAATTGTTGGAGCTTCTTTCCCTTTTAATAAACCACAATCTTCTCGGATATGTTGAATGACAGACCTTAACCATACACACTCTCGACTGGCTTCATGGATAGCTAAAATCTCAGCATGGTTAGAAGAAGTAGCTGTAATGGTTTGCTTCATAGAACGCCAAGCAATAGCTGTACCACCACATGTGAATACATATCCTGTCTGTGATCTGGTATTATGGGGATCAGATAAATATCCAGCATCTGCAAAACCAATTAAATCTCCTTTGGATGGGTTAGAGAAGAATAAACCCATATCTTTCGTTCCTTTGAGGTAACGCAATAGGTGTTTAATCCCATTCCAATGTCTTCGAGTTGGACATGAGCTAAACCTTGCCAATAAATTTACAGCAAACGATATGTCGGGTCTCGTATGACTCGCAAGGTACATTAATGCTCCTATTGCACTTAAGTATGGTACTTCTGGACCAAGTACTTCTTCATCCTCATCTCGAGGTCAAAAGGGATCTTTTGACACATCAAGTGATCTTACGATCATTGGGCTGCTCAAAGGGTGTGCATCATCCATATAAAACCTTTTAAGCACCTTTTCTGTGTATGTCGTTTGATGCACTAAGATTCCATCCTTTAGATGCTCAATTTGCAATCCCAAGCAAAATTTGATTTTCCCAAGATCTTTCATCTCAAATTCTTTCTTCAAATATTCCACTGTATGGGAAATCTCTTCTTGAGTTCCAATGATATTTAAATCATCGACATACACTGCAATTATAACAAATCCTTGCTCAAATCTCTTTATAAAAATGCACGGACTGATAGGGTCATTCTTGTACCCTTCCTTTAACAAATACTCACTAAGGCGATTATACCACATACGCCCAGATTGTTTCAGTCCATAAAGAGATCGATTCAACTTTATGCAGTATTGTTCTCGAGAACTAGGATTTGCTGCTTCTGGCAGTTTAAATCCTTCTGGAACTTTCATGTAAATATCATTATCCAGTGGATCATATAAGTAGGCTGTGACTACATCCATCAAACGCCAATCAAGTCCTTCTTTTATTGCCAGACATATAAGGAACCTGAACGTTGTTGCATCCACCACAGGAGAGTATGTCTCTTCATAATCAATTCCAGGTCTTTGTGAGAATCCTTGTGCAACTAAACGTGCCTTATATCTCAAAATTTCACCATTTTTATTCTTCTTTTGCACAAAGACCCATTTATGTCCCACTTGTTTAACACCTTTAGGTGTACGGACTATTGGTCCAAAAACTTCTCTTTTTGAAAGAGACTTTAATTCTGCACCTATTGCCTCATTCCATTTTGTCCAATCACTTCTTTGTGTACACTCTATAATAGACGTTGGTTCATGATCCTCATTTTCATCCATAACATCAAGTGCTACATTGCATGCAAAATTTTCATCGACGTCGATTTGCTTTCGGTTCCATTTTATTCCAGACATGACATAACTTATTGAGATCTCTTCATTCTCAGGTACCTGAATTTCTTTATGTCCCATGTCTATGGTCTCTTCCGGAGATCCATCAATATTATTACCATCCTTGGTTTCATCACTGCCAATTTCTGCTCCTTTTCTTTTTTGAGGATTTTTATCTTTGGAACCGATAGGTCTACCACGCTTCAAACGTGCCTTAGACTCGCTAGCAACTTGATTTTGTCCTTCTTGGACATTAATTCGAATCGGAGCATTTACAGCTGGTATATGTGACCTTGTCACCTTATTTGGGTCAGAGAATGAGTCTGGCAACTCATTTGCTAAGCTCGGTAAATGAATTATCTTTTGGACTTCTAAATCACATTCTTTAGTCCGAGGATCAAGATATGACAATGATAATTCATTCCAGCGAATTTCTTTTCCCAGCTTATTATTTTCTCCCCCTAATGTTGGAAAGACTGATTCATTAAAATGACAGTCTGCAAATCGAGCCTTAAATAAATCTCCAGTGGATGGCTCTAGAAATTTAATTATCGATGGAGAATCGAATCCAACATATATTCCCAACCTCCTTTGAGGTCCCGTGGTGGAGCAATTGGAACATATACAGCACATCCAAAAATTTTCAGATGGGAAATATTTGGTTCATGACCCAATATCAACTGTGATGGGGAGAACTTATGATTACTCGTTGGCCTGATGCGAATTAATTCTGCCGCATGTAATATAGCATGTCCCCAAGCAGAAATTGGGAGTTTTGATTTCATAAGTAATGCTCTAGTAATCAACTGCAAACGCTTAATTAGTGATTCAGCTAAACCATTTTGTGTATGAACATATGCTACCGGATGTTCAACACTTATCCCAATCGACATGCAATAATCATTAAAGGCCTTAGACGTGAATTCACCAGCATTGTCCAGACGAATCGTCTTTAAAGGAAAATCTGGAAAATGTGCTCGTAATCTAATCCATTGAGCAAGTAACCTCGCAAACGCCAAGTTGCGGGTTGATAACAAGGATACATGTGACCATCTAGTAGATGCGTCAATTAGAACCATAAAATATCTGAAGGTTCCACACGGTGGGTGAATCGGCCCACAAATATATCCTTGTATCCTTTCTAGAAAACTTATCGATTCATTATTTATCTTGGCTGGTGAAGGCCGTATGATAAGCTTGCCTAGCGAACAGGCAGCGCATGAGAAGTCATTAGGAACAATCTCATGATTCTTTAATGAATGTCCACATGAATTCATTATTATCTTTCGCATCATTATCGAATCGGGGTGGCCTAACCGGTCGTGTCAAACGCTTAGGTTTTCAGTAAACTTCTGGTTTACCATGGCATTTGCCTCAATCGTACTAATCTTAGTATAGTACATTCCTGTGGAGAGTGCGGGTAGTCTTTCCACAATATTTTTTAGAGCCTTGGGTAATCCTAGTGATATGAAGGTATTCATCACTTCCCTCACTCATACTCTCGATATGATATCTATTTCTTCGGATATCTTTAAAACTCAAAAGATTTCTCTTAGACTTGGGAGAGTATAACGCATCATCAATTTCAAATTGCGTTCCCATCGGCAATAATATATATGCTCTTCCAGAGCCTTCAATTATCTTTGCACTACCCGACACAGTACTCACACTAGCCTCTTTCATTATCAAATGAGAGAAATAATTATTGTCTTTCAAAATGGTATGACTAGTCGCACTGTCTGCCAAGCATAAATCTTCACCATTCATTGTTCTTCAAATAAATAAAATAAGATGAATCATAATCATAATCATAATGATAATAATATAAATAAAATTAAAATTCAAATTCAAAATTCAACAATGTCTTAAAAGTGAAACAATGCATAGAATTATAATAAAAACCAAAACCAAGCAACAACTTTGAATGTAAATAAAACCATAAATAAAACCATAACTAAAACAATCTTGAATCTTTAAATCACTTCTTGGCATGGGGAAGGAAATCAGATACTTCCATGTGAGTTACATCACCATGGTCAAAATCATGTTCGCCATCTTCGTACACCAAGTTTGTCTCCACTTTCTTTCCATTTTGCTTCAATGATTGTTGATAGAGATCAACATAATACTTCGGTGTAAGGCACATACGTGCCCAATGGTCTTTCGCTCCACATCGGTAACATTTATTCTCATTAGTTTCTTTCTCTTGCTTGTTACCATCTCTCTTTTCCCACTTCTGGTGAGAATAAGGTTTCTTGAAAGAAACTCGGCCTCGACCTCGACCATACTCTTGTCTACGTCCACGACCACGACTATGACCACGTCTATAGCCACTTCCTCGGCCTCTGTTATTAGCGTGGTTTTCTTCTTTCCTATCATAGGATGTCACATTCGCTTCAGGGAATGGAGCTGAACCACTTGGACGTAGACCATGATTTTTCATCAAGAGCTCGTTATTCTGCTCAGCCACAAAGAGACTTGATATAAGCTGGGAATACTTTGTGTATCCCTTCTCACGGTATTGTTTCTGTAGGACAACATTGCTTGCATGAAAAGTAGAGAATGTTTTCTCTAACATGTCAACATCCGTAATTGTCTCTCCACATAGTTTCAATTTGGATGTAATCCGAAACATGGCTGAGTTGTACTCACTCACAGACTTAAAATCTTGGAGTCTCAAATGCATCCAATCATAACGAGCCTTAGGCAAGATCACAGTTTTCTGGTGATCATACCTTTCCTTAAGATCTTTCCAAAGAACCTCTGGCTCTTTCACGGTCAGGTATTCGCCTTTAAGGCCCTCGTGGAGGTGACGGCGAACAAAAATCATAGCTTGAGCTTTTTTCTCTTCTTCGGCTGTATTTCCTTCGATAATTGTATTACCAAGCCCTTTTGCTTTTAGATGAAACTCAGCATCTAATGCCCATGCGAGATAATTATCTCCAGTGATATCAAGAACCTCAAAATAAATATTTGTAAGATTCGACATGGTTTATTTTTCGGTGTGAGAACGGATCAAGAGACGATCGCGCTGATAACGTGTTGTAAAACAGTTATCAAGAGAGAGAGGAAATTGGTGTGTCTTATTCCAAAGATAAAGAGAGGTATATATAGTATTACAAAGGTCTAGCTATCACTTCAAGTTTCTGATGTGGGACAAATACAATATTAGTTATGGGCCTTATAATGAGCATCTATATTAATATTCATAACAAATAATTGTTTTTACAAAATAACTGTTTTTACAAAAGTATTTTACTTAACTGAAAAGGCAAAAATATTTCTCCCATTAGCGCAGGTCAATTTCTAGTTGACAAGTATTCAAATAGCAAATCAAATTACTTGGGCAAAAGCCGGGTAGTAAGTACTTGAAAATGAGCGAGTACTCCCCGTGCCTAGCTCTATCGGTGTGAGACCAGACATCAGCATCGGTTGCTGACCAGCAAGATACTGACGAGTGTCACTGAGTGAGACTTGAGTCAAGAGATAAGGCCGTACTAGGTTAAAGGTTATCCTGGTAATAAACTAAGTAAAACTATAACAGTTATTAGTTAATTATGTAATGTTTGTTAGCCATTTGTATTACATTATCTTTTAGTTTGGTTTGACTTTGTAGCACGCAAACTCTATACCGACTATACTGCTTATAATGATCTAACTTTCTTTAAATACTGGCGTTTTGCAATCTGCCCTTTATCAAACTCAAAAGCAAGATACCTAAAGAGGAAAGAGAAGTATAATCGTTAGTTAATGGTTCGTTATCAAATTGCAATAGCCCATAAATAATCCATATAAAGTAATAGTAAAAAAAAAAAAACAAACATAACATGCCCATGCCACTAACCTATCCACCTATACATTCATATTACAAATAGACATATGTATCCATCTCCTTAATTATGTCATGTGTCCATCACTATCTCATCTCTCTTTGCAATTCATATATAGAGTTGGTTCTTCCCCCAAGTGTTTGTTTCAGAACCGCAAACCTCTTCTTCCCTCAAACATTCAAAATCCGAAATCTATGATTGAAATCTCAAATCTTGAGAGAATTTTATTTTATTTTGTTTTTGAAACAAATATTACAAAATCTTCGTCCGTAGAGTTTTCCTAATCTCTAGGGAATATCCGATCTTCTCTTTATCTATTTGGTTTAAATTTCCTTCTTAATTGTTTTCTAGATAAGATCAATGAAACTCATTCTCTCTTTTCACCCTTTGTTCTCGGGACATAATTATCCACGAGTCACAAAAGAGAGTATGAACTTTGTTTACCATATGGGTTTATAAACCTAATCCAAAATCAGTCTCCTACTTCACTTCTTGCATATCTTTAGATCTCTTTCTCTCTCTTTTCTTCTCTCTCTCTCTCTCTCTCTCTCTCTCTCTCTCTCTCTCTCTCTCTCTCTCTCTCTCTCTCTCTCTCTCTCTTATGGAGTTTATAACAGAAACGTTAGGCAAGAGAGTCCATGATCCGTTTATGGAGGAAACAAGGTGCATTATGATCCCTGGACCAATCATTGTCGGTTCTGGACCGTCTGGACTGGCCACGGCGGCGTGTTTGAAGTCGAGAGACATCTCTAGTTTGATTTTAGAACGTTCTAATTGCATAGCATCACTATGGCAGCTCAAAACATACGATCGTCTCCGACTTCATCTCCCTAAACATTTCTGTGAGCTTCCTTTGATGCCTTTCCCTTCAAGCTACCCTACTTACCCGACAAAACAACAGTTCGTCGAATACCTTCAGTCCTACGCTGGACATTTTGGCCTAAAGCCCGTTTTTAACCAGACGGTTGAAGCTGCGAAGTTTGACAGTCGGTGCGGGTTATGGAGGGTGAGAACTGCTGGAGGAAAGAGGGCCGAGACAACGGAGTATGTTTCCCGTTGGCTTGTTGTGGCGACGGGGGAGAATGCGGAGGAGGTGATGCCGGGGATTGATGGTATGACAGATTTTGGTGGCCCAATCCTCCACACAAGCTTCTATAAGAGCGGCGAAATGTTTAGAGAGAAGAAGGTTTTGGTCGTGGGATGTGGAAACTCCGGGATGGAAGTTTGTTTAGATCTTTGCAACTTCAATTCTCATCCTTCTCTTGTGGTTCGCGACTCGGTAAGAATAAAAAAAATAATCTTTTGCGTTTTATTTGCACAAATGTTTGATATCTCAAAGGATATAAATGTAAGAAGAACAATAAAGATGTTTAGAATAGTATCTTGCATTTTCTTTCTGTACAGTATTAGTTACTCTTTAGGGTTTAAACACAACTGTTTAGTAGTCTCTCTGTGTTCAGGCAAGCAAATGTTTACTCTTTGTCAAGGTCTTGTATATGTTATCATGTATTTATAATTAATCTTTTCTGTAGGCTAATCGAGTAGTTAACTAATGCTGCAGGTGCACGTATTACCTCAAGAAATGCTAGGTATATCTACCTTCGGCATATCCACGAGCCTGCTAAAGTGGTTTCCAGTGCAAGTGGTTGACCGGTTCTTGTTACGCATGTCTCGACTGGTTCTTGGCGACACGGACAGGTTAGGACTAGTTCGACCAAAACTCGGACCTCTGGAACGCAAGATCAAGTGTGGAAAGACTCCTGTTTTGGACGTTGGCACTCTTGCCAAAATCCGAAGTGGACACATCAAGGTACATTTATTTAGTCTTGTTCTAAACCATTTATTTAGTATACTGGAATTTTGTTCTTCTATATATGTATTTTTGATTTTAGGTGTATCCGGAGTTGAAAAGGGTAATGCAACATTCGGCAGAGTTTGTTGATGGGAGAGTGGATAATTTCGATGCCATTATACTCGCTACGGGTTACAAAAGCAACGTACCCATGTGGCTAAAGGTCTGTACCATGAGCAATGATGCGTCTACATCTTCAATATTCTTAATTCCTTGATGTTGACACAAGGCAACTCATTTGACGTTTTACATGTTGAATTAACTTTGTTTTGACTTTGATTTGTTTTCTTTGTAGGGGATGAACATGTTCTGCGAGAAAGATGGATTTCCGCAGAATCCATTTCCTAATGGTTGGAAAGGCGATAGCGGATTGTATGCGGTCGGTTTCACAAAGCTTGGATTGCTCGGTGCAGCCATTGATGCCAAGAAAATTGCTGAGGATATTGCGAGTCAACAGAAATTATTACCATTTTCTCGTCCTCAACATTGTTAAACCGAGATTCGGTTTTGATTTGGCAAATTTGGATTGAAGAGAGGTAGTAGTAGTGCATTTATGTAAGGTTCCTAACTCTTTGATTGTGACATATGAGAGTTAGAAAGCAGGGTTAGTTCAATGTTAGGTCAAAGATTTTTGGATTTTTAGGGAGAAAATATTAGATCATGGTCCACCTCTTGTATATATTTATTTAGCTATATGTATGTTCTGCTGTTCTCTTTGTGTAAATATGATTGATGAAGTCTAAGCTATAAAAGCTTAAACTAAATTGTTCCTTTTTGCTTAATTAGTTAAAATGGAGGACAGGGAGGAGTTTGGTTGAGTCTTTAGATTTGGAATTCAGCTTTATGTGATTGTGCATGTTTTAAAGTTCATGTGCTTAATATTAGTGGGTGGTGGTGGTGGTGGTGATGATATGAAGGTAGAGAGCTTTCATTGACATTTAATTATATTGAGGTTTTTTTTTTGCTTTAAATGTTTTTTGGTAATGTTTTTTTTAGTTAAAGTTTAATAATGAGTTATAATACATGATATGAGACTACATACAGTATTAAGAAAACAAATCGGTAAATGGAGAAAAACAGCTAATATAAATAAAATAAATTATATTTCATTTATATTATATTTTAGACATTTAATGTAATGTTACTTATCATATATTATAATATTTCGAGATACACTCTTTTGATTCAGGTAAATGCTACGAAACTGTCAGATTTGTTATAGACATATTTGCACAGATTAGCACTTTATTTTAATTTTTCTTACAAAACTTAACATTTATGTTTTATTTGTCTTTTAACATATAAATTAGATTATAAGAACTATTTTTAGTTGATCAAATTTTGTAATATAATTTGTGTTTTTGTTTTTGTTAACATATAATTTTTAATAAATAATAAAGATTTTTTTTTTCTGTTTATATATAATTTGTTTCTATTAATTTATTTTTTTTCTAATATTATATATGACTGCGATTAGAAAAATATTATTCTAGTTTTGGTGTTATTAATCTGAAAAGATCATAATTATAAAAACATCAATATAACATGTCCATTTATATAAATCCAAAAAGGACCGCGATTATTGAAAAATAATTTTAACTCATTCGTTCAAATTATTTATACATTTTAAATATTTATTCAGTTTGAATTATTAAAATTTCAGGCTTATTAAATAAAAATATTTAATAATATATTATTTTCATCTTTATCATTAGAAATATAATTTAAATTTAAATATTTAAATTAAATCTAAATTAGTATTTGGTTTATTATTTTTATAAAGATATAATAATAACTTATTTATGATTTTTGATAAATAATATAACCTATGTTTTAAAAAAATATATAATAAATTTCTATTTAAATTTAAATTTTTGGATTTATTTTGAAATATAAATTAAAATTATATTATTTTATTATTCTTATAGTAAATTGATTTGTTTGGCACCACAGATAGAAATTATCCAAAAAAAAATTATTAATGAAATCCTGTTTAGACATAAAAAATATTTTTTTATTTTAATTGAATAGATGATAAAAATACCCCTCCTCCTGGTTGTTTGTATACTCTCTACTTGCATATACGCCTTAATGTACAAGGGCTAAGTTATCATGAATAGTAAAAAAAAATATTAAGAATTTATAAACAGTAGTTTGAATGCTAAAAAACAATCCTAAGTCTAATAACGTGCTAATTCTTGCAAACATTTTTTGTTAAATATAGAATTAGCAAAAAAATAAAAGTGAAAAATATGAATTTTAGAATTAGCAAGAATTAGCACGTTTTTAGACTTAGATAAAAAAATC